GTCTGCCTCACGGACTAAAACTTTTTTGTGTGTTTTATTTGTCTCAAGTTCCCATAATTGATTTAAGGCAAAATCCATACAAGACCTTGAACTTGAATCAGCCTCTGTGGTTTGGTGAGATGTAAGCTATAAGACCCCCCACCCCCCACCCCCACCTCATGCTACACATGATGGTTTCCTGATTATTTCTACAGAGAGCCTCACTTCTTCCACTGTTTAGTTCCTGACCTGGAAACACTGAGTAAGCATTTTCCATATTAACTGAATGGTCTACAGCTTCTAGATACTGAAATGTTTTCAAGACAAAATCCTTTAGTTTGTTTTGTTTTTTAACCAAGAATGAAAATTTACATCCATTGTTTAAAAAAGAACTTAAACTTTATTTTAATTTCCTGCCATCTGGACTCTGAAAACAGCATTTTGAACAAGCTGCACACATCCAGTCGAATCAGTTTATAATTTTTTATGGTTTTATAGTATAATTTTTAAGTTGTATAATTCAATATTACAACACATGATCTAAAAACAGTTTCAGTTTTCTGTCAAAGGAAACCAGATGATTGCATCCAGTCACTGACTTTGTAGGATTCACTCCTCCTGGATCAGCTGCCTGCCCTAAAATCCACAAATACAAAAACCCTGAAAAAAAAGCTGAGCTAATTTTGTTATGGGGTCCCACAGAGCTCAGTGTTGGACCCTCTCCTTTTTCTATTTATCTTTCAGCTCCATTTTCAGGAGACGTGCTGTTTTCTACCACCGTTCCTCACCATATCACACTGTACCATAATGTTCTGTGCCATATCTTACAGTTCCACCGTACCATACCATGCTGCACCGTGTCACAGAGTCCTTCACAGGTCTAATTTTTCTAAACTGTAGAGTTTAGAACCCAGAACCAACCCGTTAACCCCATTTATCCTGATTTAAAACCTGGCCGGGACCACACATACCCGTAAATATTAAAGTGCAACACGACCCATGATCGCAAAGTTTACACACACAGCCGTTTTAGTGCTTAAACACAACATGCTTTATTTTTCCGGCTGCAGCAGGATGCTCTCTTGATAACAGAGGCAGTAAAGTTCATAGCCTCATGCTCACATCCAGTGCGCTCGGCATTCACAGATCAACAGCTGTAAATCAGCCAAGGTAAGAAGGTTAGCTAAAAAATGACTGTTGATTGGATATTCTTCAATCAATTTATTTATTAAGATGTAGAGTTAATAAATATGAAAACATGAATAAGCGGCATTCATGCTGTAAGTCTGTGTATGATACCTGCCTGCCTGTTCTGCACCAGGTAGCTGACCCGGTGCAGAACTTTGCCGTACCATACAATACCATATCGTACCACACCACTCTGCACCATACTACTTATAAATTACTAAAATCCACTGCTGATGGATGAAATAAAGTGTTGTACATAGCTACAGACTATTCAATTTTCAATTCAGTTTATTTATATAGCGCCAAATTCACAACACATGTCATCTCAAGGCACTTTACAGTT